TGTGTTCATCTTAACTTTTGTGACCGTATTAGAGGTAAGTCTTTAGAAACTGAAGTGAACTAACTCACATAAAACGAAGGAAAAGCCCGATTTCAGGGTCTTTTGTATATTCGAATTATGGAGACTACTTAGCTAGAGATCAGATGCTGTAGAAGAGAGCTGACTGTTTGATGTGATATTGCTTGCAACCTGCCGTGTGAAAGTGATGAGTTTAGTAACATACTTAACACAGAAGATCTAGATGTCACCTTCGGAAACATGACAAACAGCGAGAATAGACAGTGGTATAATCCAACTGATGGAGTTTTCGTCCTTTACAACGACATGCTAAGTCGTAAGAACGGTGTTCTTTTTCTGCGATCGGCATATACTGGCTTCTACAGTAACTGAGATAGGATGAAAATGAACTAAAGAACTTTCATTTTGACCATAAAAGCAAGCCCATTTTAGGTGATAGAGGATGGCTAAGGAAAAATAAGTCTATGGTTAATCATTTTTTAGAATTCCTCACTTACTAAAGGATTACCAATGACGAACCAGCTTCTGAGATAACGACAAAAAACACCAAAAACAGTTTATTTTGAACAAAGAAATAATATTTCATTGATAATGGATGATTACTAGTACACAGAGCGGGTTTGTAATAGCTTAAGTTGGCTAGTGAAGAGTCAACCTCGAACAAACAAGCATATTTCAAAACAATGGAGTAATCATTCGCCTCTTTGTTTTGTATAGACATTATATTTCTTATCATTTTATATTGAATGTTGAAAAACGTTGTGTGGCTCGACGGGTCATCCCCGGCTCCTCTGTGACTGCCCCACTATCTAAATAAAGACCTATTCACTGTTAGTCTAGTTTCTTCTGTCGACAGAACGAGGGTTACCTACAGGCACGAAAAGTTTACGGATAGGATACAGACCCAGTAGAGTCGTTGAATCGCGACATCAGTAAATCAGGAAAGCTTCACAGTGGAATACTCATGAAAGTTGATAGCGAAATATTTATGTAGTCGAATCGTTTAGCAAGCTTGTCGTTGTTATAAAGTAATGAGTGTAAGGAGCTTGGTATAAGCATTGACCCCGACAAACGCACAATTTAGGTTTGTGTTCCAGAATTAGCTCTATGGCTCTATGGCCCCCAAATGCCCTGATACGGCCGAGTGATGTGGGCCCGCCCTCTCTCTCGAAATGCTCACACATGGCCACGCGTATACAGCCTCTCCTAGGGAAGTCCTACTCATTGCCTTCTCGTGGCGAGGGTGCTGTTAACGAAAATGAGAGGACGAAAAGCAAATGTCCGGCGCTTTAACCGGTTCCCAAACCAATGGTGCACATGGGCTCCAGTATCCTGAGGGAACAAATGGTGTATGAACCAATTTTTGGTCACCGGCTACCATGGGACTGCATCTCATAACGATGCTCCACTGCCTTGTGGATCAGACCTTTAGATCAAAGGCTCGGGAAGTGACCCCCTAAGATAATCACCTGGTTTGGTCTGGGCGCCCGGGCAGTATCATAGCTCACGCACAAATATAATGGTAATCAAGATGCGTGGCGCATACATATTTGGTGCCCTCCTGTACCAATATTTATGTGTTCAAATAAAAATAATAAAAGTACTAAAAACATGATGATTAATATGGTGTTAAAAGTGTTTTGTCCTACTTCAGTCAGGTTGTGGTTTGCAGGCTCAAAAAATGCAAACTATAAGGTTCACGAGATGACTAGTTGGGATAGTGGTGTGAGTTTCTTGAGACTGACCATAGCTGCGCAGTAGCAATAGGTTCAATGAGTTACTTGTTTACTCTAAATAAAAACTAAAATGGGACACGAAGTCATGAGGGAGAGTCTAATACAACTCTGACAAAGAGGAAAAAGCGGAAATTCATATTCCGACGTGACTTGGGCTTATAGAGAGCCCATTGTATGTTAGTAAGGCTAAGATGTTTTCTAATGTGTCTGTAAACTAACACAGTTGAAGGATTCATCAAGAAGTGTTATAAGCCCATGTAACTCATCCGCCACGAATATGTCTAAGGCAAAATTGTTGCTTATTGGTGTATACTTGATGATGATGATTTTCTTAGCTTTTGTCGTTCGTTTGAATTTTGACCGTGGATATTTTATCTCGATTTTTGTATATATGTGGGCTTTGGGTAAAGACTATATCATAATAAGAGTAAGTAAAACTGGCTGAAAACTTAAAGTAAGGAATCAAATTCAACCCAATCAACTTTATGCAGAGGGTTTCAAATACTATGGTTTGGGATCAGAAGGGTTAGTTATTGAGTAAATCACTTAAGTGTTTCGCGAGTGAAATACCGTTGTGAGTGGAATTATTTTATCATCGCCGTTGTGAAACTTATTGCCGATCACAACGGATGTCGGCGTGACATTGTGACAGAGTACTGAGTCGAGAAAATCATGGTATCGCGTAGGCAGGTGCATTAGTTGCTGCCAACCACGTATGTCTAAGGATCTAAGTATGTTTTCAAATCACTATGGACTAGAGTATTTCTGCCAGTCGATGCTTGATAAGTTGAAATCACAGTGAATAATTTTTCATGAGAAATCTAGCTGGGGCTGTCTTGGCAAATGGTTCACATATAGTAGTACCAGCTGAAGTGTGTGTTTGGAGTACAACACATGCATCTAATTGGTATTTTATAGCCAAAAGTGTGTACAGTAACCATATTGAGTCAAGTACTTTATTGAGTTTAGTATCGCCTTAAATTTCATCTCTCATGTTTCCAGATGCACATATGGGAACATCGTCTTCCACTTTAGAGCTTTAGTCATAGAGGAAGAGTTTATACAAGTATGTCAGAAGCTATAAGCCTGAAACATTTGAGGACAATTAAATTTCCGTTATTTGAACAAGTGAAGAGTCACTTGAAAGCACCAGAGTGCATAGATGAGCCGTTTTATTTAGTAAAAAATCAGGCAGTGATCAGCAGGTGTGGTGAATATTATTTAGCAAGGGAGTGTGGTTTTAAACTCACGTTCGTTCCAATTTTTAGTAATATAGTAAATTGGAGAGAGGTGATTTGGCGGTTTCTTTAATGGAAAAAAGAAGCTTGTTCTGGGATAATAGATGATGTAGAGTGAGTTAAATGGATATGTGGTATATCTATTAGTGGTTATGAGGGTCAGTTAATGAGCTATTGTAGTTGTGAATAGTTGTAATCAAAGAAAAAATTTTCACCCTTCATTAGGCCAGAGTATACAGACGGTAACCTTAAACAGAAAGAAATATATCCATCCACGGTTAGAGACCTCATAGCAACACTGTTAAGAGGAAGAGAGCCAAAATGGACGAGGCGCTTTGTGTGACAAAGTGGTGGGGTAACCAAGAGTTGTATAAGGTGGTTTGGACTGGGTAGTGTCTAGAATCACTAGACAAGTTCTCAAGTAGGCCAACACTGTAGTTTTCGTCTGCTACGGCTCATTCTAGACTATTGTATATCGTTAAGAGGGATGTGTGGAAATGGTTACTACTAACCATACTTCTGTTAGGATACGAAATCTTAAGGAATCAAATAACTCCTGGTTAGTTAATAACAAAGAGTGAGAATAATAACTTAATTTCTGTCCTGAGAGCCGGTACCTTGACGTGTGTAGAGCAAAAAAGGATTATTATTTATTTCAGATGACCATGACCCTTTGAATATTTTTAAATATTCAATAGCATTTTACGTCAAAAGTATTAAATTATGGTGGGAAGTAATAAATGATGACAATGGTTGAACATACATCATTGCCTAGGCACCTTTCAACTCAACCATTTGGGCTACACTGTAAATAAGGTATACGACAGCAGTAACCACATAATTCAATGGACGTCTCTGGCACAATTCCTCCCTGAAAAAATCTTAGGAGTCAAAATAACTCATGACCTGAATACAATGGATCAACGATATGCTGTTAGATCTGAAGATTTTAACACATTGTAGGTATTATGAAGGACTATCTCGCAATTAGGCGTAAATATATTCATCATTCCTCAAAAACTCTTAGTAAGAACAAAACTATAAAATGGTGCGGCTTTATCGCTCCTATTTAAAAGGATACTTACATCTGCCTGAAATAGTTCAATGATCCACTCTTGGTAGGCATCCGTGAATGCTTTAGTCATAGTGTATGTAGTGACCTCAAAGGTAAACCTCCAAACACTAATCTGCCGTGAGTAAGAGGTGATTTACGCCTTGCGAGATGCAAAGAAATAATATTAGACCTGATCGAGTATTCCCCTCTTGTTGCATCTTGTGATTGCCGAGTGGGGAGCAGTGACTTATCGATCGGACCAAAGACGCGTAAAACACGTGCGAGCAGTCTAGAGTTCTGATTGGCCCTTTATATATCAACCAGACAGACCACAACTTACCAAAAAATATGGAACAACATTTTTGCAATATTTAGCCAAAAGTAACTGTGAATGAGAGAGATAGTAATTAATAGACAGGCCACAACTCAAGGAAGGTAAATCGTATAGTAATAGTCCATGGGTCAAATTAAAGCTTATAATAAGAGCGACATGAATATGAACAGTTAAGTTACATAACAATTATACGATAAAAATATACTCATAGCATTGGTCCATAACTGGATCCCAAAAATTACCATTCATTATTCTTATCGCGATATAACACCCCTCAACAAGGTTAGGGAAGCTCGAAACCAAAAGCTGAATGAAAAAGCCAAGAAAGATCTATATCCTCGTGAAATACGGGCTTTTCTACTGCGCAATAAACTCCGAGGGTCTGTCACCCAAAAATCTCCAGCCGATTTCTCAATCTACTCATTCAAGAGATGACGGAACGCAAGCAACCTGGAAGAAGAGAACTAAATTAAGTCATCAGGACTCTGCCCACGGATAATAAATATCCAGAAAACCTGAACGTTTGTTACTTTTAGACTTTTAATATCAAAAATCGGGCATGAAGAAATCTTTGGGTTTCCACTCATCCATTACGAAAAATTAAATATTGGATGTTGTTTGAACTATTAACTGTATTGACTACGGTTGCGGAACGTTTTCAAGATTCAGAACATGGTTAGAATAAAATAAGGAAAATGATTTTATTTATGTTTAGCCACCCAAAAAGAAGCCTGGAAAGAAGAAGGGGAAAAAGTCTTCAACGTCCTCTAAGTCCAAAACGCCAACTGTCGTAGATGGTGTTTCAACAACAGAGATGACAAAGGAAGAGTTAGAAGAACACATCATCCGACTTCGAGAAGAGCTAGAAAGGGAAAGAGAAGAGAGAAATTACTTTCAGCTAGAAAGAGACAAAGTGAACACGTTCTGGGAAATATCCAAACAGCAACTAGAAGACCGGTCAGCCGAACTAAGAAATAAAGAACGTGAGATGGAAGAATCTGAAGAAAGACATCAGTTAGAACTGAAAGTAAAGAACATTTTGACATAAATGCATCGAATCTTTGTAGGTTTACAAACAAAAGGTCAAACATCTACTATATGAGCACCAAAATAATATTTCTGAATTGAAAGCGGAGACTGCAACTGCTATTCGAATCAACCAAGAAGAACATTTGAAAGTTCAGGGACTATTAAGACAAGACGAACAAAACCTGAAGATCAAGCTGAGGGAAACTCAGCTTTCTAGTGAAGACAATGTCAGAACCCTGAAGAAAGAACACGAACATGAAGTAACAAAAAAATGAATTTGATCAAATAGAGACTTTTTAGATGCACGAAATAAGAAAAGATTTCGAAAGAAAGATGGAGGAACAAAAGAAGATATACATGAAAAATACAAAAGAACTGAGGGAAAAGCTTGATCTTCAAAGGAAAAATGAACTGCATGAGACAGAGGAGAGAAAAAATAATCATATAAATGCTCTTATGCGTAGTCATGAGAAATCATATGCGGAGATGAAGAACTATTACAATGATATTACTTTAAATAACCTAGCTTTAATAAACACACTAAAGGTAAGTATGAAGGGTCCCACTTGTTGATAATAATCTCTTCAATGGAAAATGGCGACGGCAAAAATATCACTAGTAGTTTTATCGGCGAGACTCTAATTTAAGGACGACCTTCGAACGAATTTTAAGTGACCTTGACAATTATTAGCCAATCAGAAGACAGTTAGTATAAAGTGAGAATATATTGTAAGTAAGTAATGAATTACAGTGGATATTCTTCTTCTACATGATTTAAAAACTTGTTAAGGTTCGATAAAGGTTCAGAGGCTCTGGATTCATAATGCATATTGTATAGAAACTCGTCCATAGGGTTAGTGGTTAGGGTTGTAGCCTGTAAGTAGACACATCTCTAAAATCCGATGTAAACCGATCGCATGTTAGCACCCTAATCCTAACCTAACCCTAACCTTAACCTAACCCCTAACCTTAACCTAACCCTAACCTTAACCTAACCCTAACCTTAACCTAACCCTAAATCCTAATCTAACCCTAACCTTAACACTAAACCCTAATCTAACCCTAACCTTAACCTAACCCTAAATCCTAATCTAACCCTAACCCTAATCTAACCCTAACCTTAACCTAACCCTAAACCCTAATCTAACCCTAACCTTAACCTAACCCTAAACCCTAATCTAACCCTAACCTTAACCTAACCCTAAATCCTAATCTAACCCTAACCCTAAACCCTAACCTTAACCTAACCCTTAACCCTAATTTTAACCCCAAACCCTAACCCTATGGACGAGTTTCTATACAATATGCATTATGAATTCAGAACTTCTGAGTCTTTATCAAACCTCAACAGGTTTTTAAATCATGTAAAAGAAGAATATCCACTGTAATTCATTACTTTCTCGTAATATATTTTTACTTTATACTGTCTTCTGATTGGCTAATAATTGAAATTGCTCAAACGTTTCTCATTGGCTCGTCCCTAAATTAGAGTCTCGCCGTTTTATCTAGTAGACAATTTCGGATGTCTTCAACAATTATTGAAGATGATTTGGCGTTAAGCATCGCTCGAATCTTTTCTCAGTCAAGTGTATCGTCTGAAATGTTTCAGACAGTGCGTTAGTTAACTTTAAGGACATAATACTTGTTGCAAACGATTTCGTTATCTTTTTTTAAGTTGCGATTAAATTATTTCTGGAAAATATTGCCATAGTATGGTGAATTTTGAACCCACAGGTTACCAGATTTTGCTTTCTGGTATACAAAATCCTCACTACCATAATATAAAGTATTCTAACTCGCGAACTTTATAGTTTATTTTTTAAGGCATTTTCGGAATAATATATCAAAGATATATACACAAGCATATGAAAACGCAAATGAAGATGCATTCGGTAACAGAAGCTATCACTTTTCATAAACGTAAAAGCGCGGTTTTATTTTTATTGCTAAACGTCATTCAGAAACACCTTATTTACTTCAAAAAAGCTAGAAGTTGAAAAGTACTGTTCAAAAATTTTATGCTTTACCCATATTTCTAGCCAATATTGATATGCTTTTAGCATTCCTTAATTTTTAGCAAATCTTTTAGGCTTTTTTGGAAGTCTGGTTTAGTATTGATAACACTTAGATAAAAGCTTGCTAATGGAAGAGAATTTTGCATTATTAGCATTTATAAGTAGTAATAATGCTCATCTTACTGTCACAAGTAATATTTCCGGAAGGCAGAACATTCATTAAATTTGTATTCGATTATGACCTCTGGGGAAATTTAAGTTCAACTAGCTACCGACACCTAATAACTTTATTTGTTTCCTTTTCTTTAATTGTACTTTTATCCAGTAGTTTAGCTGTGTAATTACCATTGCATGCTTGTTCTATTATAAATACAGGAACAACTAGAAGAACGAAAAAAGAATGAGGAACGCTTAGAGCGTCGAGCAAATGAGATAGCAGCTGAAAACCGCCGACTAGTAGAGCCTTTAAATAAAGCTAAAGAAGAAAACACCGAGATGAAAAGGCAAATGGCTAACTATGAAAAAGACAAGACTGTTTTAAAAGCAAGTTATTCTAATAATTTTTAAAATAAAAAAGTGGAGGGATTTTAAATGTGCAGGGAGATTTTCGATAATGCGAGCAATTAAGTTCAACTTATATTCCCTCGATACAAGGGAAAGCTAATCTAGAATTTGTGTAATCTGAAATATATTCGCATATTTAGTCTAGTCCTCGATATATTATTATGCTACCTGATGTGCCTAAAAGAAAAAACTACAATTTATTTAAATGATGTAAGCATTTTTAAAAATAAGCTTAAACGGGACTTTATTCTATATTGACTGTCAGAAGGCATTAGTTTGCAATTTTGGTTTAGATGCCTGTCAGTGAATTCATGCTCTTTGATTAGCTTTCATGTGTCAGTCTTTTGCTCTTGCTCTGGTTAAATCTAAACAATTGCCTTTTAATTGTCAAAAAATACGCACTCTTCTGGGTTAAGATATCTTATTAGAATTGTCATAAAACGTTTTTGATAGACGAAGTTTCATTCTCTATCTGTGGGTTTTTTACCTAAGTGTTCGACAACAAACAACTGCTGTTGCTAAGCAATGCGTTTACACTATTTTTGTTTTTGCTGGCTATGACTTTCAGATGCACAGCAGAACGAGTTTCCTTGATATGCTGCGCTCTTGAACTACCATTGGCCATTAAGTTTACAAAGTGCACGAGAAGCAACATAACTTTGTTTCACATAATCTCGTTTGTTTTATCAATTATTTATAATGATCAATTCAAAGAAAGCATGAGGCTTTTATCACAACAACAGAATGAAGCAAATAATTACCAATAATATCATTAACATGATTTATTGAAAAGTAATGTGGTATTCTGCGGAACTCAAAGGTCATTTGTGGGAATTTCAATAAAAACTGACAATTTTTATACCATACGCAACAATAATTTCTAACATTTTAGCACCTAACATCAACAACTCTACACATAATCTGACACAACTTTCAGATTTTGCGTGGATCGTGATACCTTTCAACCAATGAGTTAAGACCCATTGATTATAGCCTCCAAAATGTAAGAACGTCCTAAGCTTTACCTTTGAGAACTTATCACACAATTTGCTTTGACACAAAGTTCATAACTTTTCACTAGAAATGCAAAGTCAGTTTTTGGGCTAGTTATTAGTGGAAACATAATGTTGATAATGGTAATAATAATAATTAATAGTAGTATTAGTAGCAGTAATAGTAGTGGTAGCAGCAGTAGTATAGTAGTAATAATAGTACGAAAGATTGTTTCATCAACAGTATTGTGGCAGTTTACCGTTATCTTGGAAAGGCTTTAGATACATAGGGGATTATGAAAAGCAAAGTACGTAAATAAGCTGGAAAGGAAATGAATCAGAGAAAGAGTGAGCAAACCACTCAGTAAGTACTCAGGATGTGATTGGACTTATTAATAGAGTCAACCGATAACACTTAGTAATAGTGTCAGACACTCCAACAACCACAACTAGGAGTGCTAGCATGATATTTTGAATTTGTTACAAGCCATTAAATTTGAACACAACAATTACCCCATTGAAGACGAATTAGCTAAAGAAACGCTAACTAGAATCCTTTTAGTGAGAACTATTCCCAGGTTTAAAAATTATTAATATGAATGATTTTTCCTTCCCATTTCTTGTATTAGCAAACTAAAGCTTTATTAAAAACTTGTGAAAAAGAAAAGAAACGTACTGAATGGAAATATGATATTTTGGAACAACAATTTAAACACGTGAGTATATATATGATGGATTCCCACAAACCGTCATTTCCGATCATTTCAAAGATCCTACCTGGAATTCCCCATATACCAAATCGACTCAGATTGACAGTCAGTGACATTGTAGACAGCTGTGATATCTTCGTTTATCCCCCCCTTTTAATTTTATCCCACGTCTACCAGCATTGGCCTTATATGTAAGCAGTAACTTGGAATACAGCCATCTAAGAAAATGAATGTTTATAATTTCATCCATTGATATTCATTGATATCTGATTGACAAACTCTTGATCCACATATGACCAAAGTTGGTAAAAGCCAACCATTCTCTCGGTATCTTTACAAGTATCTCATGGGTCACTAACTTAACAGAAGTTGATTGATTATTCAACTAAGAATGACGTCTGATAAGAGTCACTTTTGTAATTTGTGTCAAAACTCACTTTGGAGTTCATCGATCTAGTTCAGTCAGTCAGTCATATGCAACGTAGAGTTTGACATGTATGTCCACCCTAGCAAATACAAATTAATGTTATCAACGCTAACAGCAGCTCGTAGTAGGCTCATACTTGGTCAGTAGTGTTCGAGTAGAAAGCCTGTATATGATTAGCATGCTTCTTCGGTATGTCTCTTAGTGACAGACACTACCACAAGACTTTCCGATCGACAAAATCTAACACTACTCTAAGGCCAAGAAATAAAGCTACGGCCAGATTTATCAGGTGAGTCTATGTTCCAGAACCTGACAGAAGACGAACTTTCGCTTGGTACACCCATAGCCCGGTCTGAAACCAGCCTGATTTCACCGAGTTTCATCTTCGTCAGTCCTAGTTAAGCATCAGGTGGCTATTGGGGCCAGTATTGTGGACATTATGTTAGTCAAACAGGTCTCTATGCAATTTTTACAAGAGAATTCCTGGACGATCAGCAATAGAAACCCTTCAGGTGCGATTACGTGCGGTTCACAGATTCTAGTATCTCCGTCAATCTAACTACTAAAACTGAACTATCATCGCTAAAGATCTCTAGGAACAACTGATCAGAGCCTGTTATCTTTTCATGCTTTAGATTAGCTATGAATTTTCTACTTCGTTAAGACTCAAGGAGCTTATGCTGTCTGGTAACAGTAAGGAATTGAAAGGCAACTCGAGACAGGTTAAACTGTTTTCCAAAATGTTTCGCTTGTTGTCCCAATCTCAGAAATATTCCCACTAACTCGAAAGTTCTTAACACCTATTTCTTTGACTAATGTGATAGGCTGTCTATTGTTGGCTGTTGCTATTACCTTTTCCATCTCTTTTGCTTTCTCTGTCCACCACTGCTTACGAACAGTACGTAGACTTGTCAGTCTATGTTTAAGATATCATTGCTCCTCATAGTGCTTCTAGCTTGACTGGATGAACTACAAGCATTTTTTATTTCAGTAGACCCCATCAAAATTCACCCTTTTAGCTAAAGTCACTGATATGACAATACTACTATTTTCATAGTTGTTTGGATATTATGGATTTTTAACGTGTATTTCAAAAAAAGTATTCTGACTATGCTAATTACAAATATTTCTTGATTCAGATTGAAGCTGAACGTAATGATTTATATGAGAAATTTGTACTAGCTATTCAAGAAGTTCAACAGAAATGTGGATTAAAGAATATACTGTTAGAGAAACGTTTAACTGCACTAACGGAAACAATTGAAAAGAAAGAAGCACAATTAAGTGAAGTTTTATCAGCAAGTAATTTAGACCCTATCTCTATGGCAACAGTATCAAGGAAATTAGGCGTAAGTTTTTTTCATATGTTACAATCCTTCTACTCTAGGATTAAATTAACCTCAAAGTTTTGGCTAAAATTATTGAAATCTCATGTTTTAACTTGATTATCCACTCTCAATTTTACAAAAGTCAAACTACTTATAGTTTGTCAATAGCTTGACAAGTTAACCTCAACAATTGGTAGTGTACTAGTCCTTTAATAAGTACTCGAATTAGAGTCAAAAATCACTCTTGTCACAAAGTTAGAGTACATCATTCTAGGCTTTTTCAAGGTGATCTTGGTTTGTATCAATGCACTTGTCTAATCTGTGTTTTCGTCGTTCTGAGCACTATTGGGACATCACAAAAGTGAGGCTATCCATCTGCATTGTTTCACGTTTTATCGTCGTTACATTCCTATAACTCCCATCCCATAATCATTTTGTATTTCTGGGACAAGAACAAAATCTCAAGAGGCTGTTTTTGGCGATTTAGTAAGTAATGTACTCTAGTGTAGTGATCGACTTATAGTCCAAAAACTTCTAGGTGATCGTTCCTGAATGTATGGACTCAGTGTCATAATGAAACAAACCATCAGCATTATGTAAATTTGGTTACTAACGACAAAGGATTTCTCAAGAGACTGTGAACCTCTACATACAAGATAGAATCGATGGTTCTTCCTTCAGTAGGAAGCTCATTCTAGAAGTGAACTAACTTGATAAGTATGAAGATGATTTCCAATTAAGAGAAAGTAATTAAACAGAGGTTTGATTTATACGTATCCGAAGTTTGACTGTGTGGATACTCTGTGGTTTTCAGAGATTTTTCAACTACTTTGATTGTTTATTGGTAGATTTTTTGAATTATTTATGTCATGAAATCAGATCAAGATTATGCTACGCTGTTATTTTCTAGAACATCAACAAAGAAAGTCCCTGTTATGATGTTAAGTGTTCAACAAATGATTTGTATTTCACATGAATCATGATACGATCTATATTGGACTGAAGGTCCAGTGTTCGACTCTCATTTACGGTGCCGTGAATGCATACTGCTGATGAGTTCCATACTATGGTTAAACGGTTATTCAGTGCTCCTATGTTTTCAGTGATGATCTGACATAGATCGGTTCATCATTTCAATGAAAATCAATAATCTTGTGTTGAAGTCTCAAGATTCTGGGTCTGATATTCAAGAGGGTCTTGGGTACGTGTAGTTAAGGAATTCCATACTACGATAAAATAGCTATTGTGTTCCTTTCAATTTTTAGTGATTATCCTTATCAGTCCAACTCATAATATCAACCATTTACAGAAGAAAATAGATCATAATCTACACTTGCATTTCGATCACTTTTTTAAGAAAATTTACTTCCCGTGATCCGGAAAAGAAAAGAGATTCAGAGAGGGAATAAATGAGCAGATCATTTGATTACATAAAGGTTTAGTGTTGATCTAATTTATTAAACATGTACTGGATTCCTATGATATTATTATTGGGTTTTTAATGAATGGTTGACAGTTAGTGAGGATAAGCACCATACCCAAAATAGATGAAAATTAATCATTCCTTTCTCAACAGCTATGGTGTATAAACTTTATGAAATTAAGCTATCAGTAACAAGAATTTAGAAGTGACCAACAAGAAGTCATGGATTGAGAGTTTTTTTTAACAAGATTTCTAATCTCAATCTGTGCTTCATTTTACTTAAGATTGTAGAAATATCATTCGTGACAACGGTTAACTCGTACGAAACCTAGATTTAAGGCTTCTTGTCTACCATCTTTATTCACAAAATATTAAACAAAGTTGAATACTGTTATTTTGAATCGTCTTAATGGGGGGAATTCCATCAAAAATTATGATGATAAAGCACTTATGTTAGGTCTATCGGACTGTCCAGGTCATCCAATTAAGATACGCGCAAAACCGAAGTTCGCAAAACAACGATTTGTCTACAATAGCGGTTCTTTATTGGATAATACACAAAAATTAGTTACAAACCCCAACTTGTGAGGTGTCTGTGGCGTCTAACGCGTCCTTTTGTATGAAATAAAAAAGGGTTCCTGTAACGGTAACATAAAGAATCATTACAACGTACGATAGTGCAAGAGACAACTGGTAGCTGTGTCTAAATTTGGTAACAGTTTATCAACAACCGAAACCCGAACCAAGAGCAAAACAATATGGAAACTGTCGCGTTTAAACAAATACAAAAAACCGTAGATAACTGCTATAGTTATTAAGGTAAAGTAATTATAATGATAAATACAATAAACGTTATAAGTATATATTAAATATTCCAGACGACAACTTGCATTACAACATAAGTTTAAAACTTTCTGGGAATACAACTGTTTACTGATTGCAAATAAGTAGTATAAAACAATACGCAAAAGAGTGGAAGAGAAGTGAGTAAGAACAATGTAAAACAAACTTAACAACATCATTGGTCGTGGTTAATTGATCAGTTAGTGCAAAAAGAAATACGGGCAATTTAGAGTTACACACAAATATTGGGTTCACCAGTGTCACTATGGTCGACTGAAGAGAAATGATTTTCAAAATTCATAGTTTGACGAAATTTGTTTATCAAGTTACGAAACAAATAATTTGATATTGATTTCAACTGTTTTACATAAGGTGAATGTTAAACTGGTAAATCTAATGAAATACTTGTAAGTTAAGACGGTTAGAAGTTAATACTGATTGAAGTATACCAATCCAGTTGTATAATATAGCTTATAAATGTCTTTGGATAACCTATATGTTTTTGAATCATTGAAATACAATTAGAATTCACTTGAACTACAATCTAGACCCTTAACTTAATACAGTTGAGTAGTCTAGACATATATGTGTTTTGTTCTGATGTCCTATTCAGTTGCAATATATACTTCCTATGGTACATCAACCTGATTACACAAATGAAGGGACTGAATTGAGTGGGAAAATTTAGTTGTTACTCTAAAGTATAATATACACAAATTATTGGTATACATACAATTGTCCTTCTGACGTAGATATGAACATTTAAGCTGAAACTTTGAGTAGGGGCATAATCGACTTTCTTAAGTAGGATGCTTTGTTTTAATCTCTAACTAGTCTTTTGACCTTGGAATACTATGTCAACTCGAACATAAGATATGTCCATACTAACATTCCCTATAAATTTGTTATGAACATACTCTATGGTTCTAAATACACTATATGAATTCCAATAAAGCATGAAACTTCAATTTCTGGTTGATTTCTCCTCCTGTAATGAGTTTCAAACAAATTTCTAAACCTTGTGATAATGGTTTGTAAAACAAATTGGTAAGATTCTCAAGAGAATTTCTTTAAGATCATGGAACAATTGTGTAAATATCTAAATTCACTTGGTGTTGTTTTACTTGTATCTTCCCATTATTATTTAGGACTGTAACTGATCAGTCTCATGTTGGTATATGTGCATCCTGTGTAGATTGCCTCGATATAGCCTTAAGTCACAAGTTTTTTAAGCAAAGATGGATGGTGGCTAAAAGTGAAATCCAGGACGCGCGTGAATAACGCCATGACGTTTGAAGCGAACGGTACTGGGTTCGAGTCCCGGAGTGAATATCAACTCTGGGATGCAGGTATATCCAGCTAACGAGTCGCAAACAGGACGAAACGCGCGTACTGGATTCCACTGCTAGCCACTATCCATCTTTGTGTAAATATCTGTTGTTATTAAAAATATAAGAAAATTAAATTTCGATGGTATGTTTCATACTACTTATAAAAATGAATATTTATAAAATTTAAAGTGTTAAAGTTTCATAGATAAATGAGCCTATGTTTCTGTTTAAATCTTTTTACTAGGATATTCTAGATTCTAAAAATGGTACCATTAAAGAACTTCAGTATGAATTGGCAAGAGTTTGTAAGGTAAATATTCAATGACTACTTAAGTAGTATGTTATTTAATGAACAACTATTTTGCGTTCAAAGACTATAAATAAAAGTCTTATGAAGATATTCCGTTTATGACAATATGAAAACGGAAACGAGGTCACATTGAATCTAAACTATAATTTATACAATCGATACTGTATGATTGAAAAGAGGGATTAATGAATGGATTTGTAGCTATTTATAAGATTTCTTGAACACGAGTTATTTTGTTGAAAATATTCAGCATAAGGTGAATGAAAATCCTCTCATTTGCTTGAACCAATGTACATAAATGTCAGGTTCTACGATGCACATGACTGAGTGACTGACTCAAACACTACAAAGTCAGAGAGTCCTCATTTTCACTTAATCCAAACCATAGAATTGCGGCTCAATGACTTGAATGCATCTTACTCTCTTTGAGATATGATTGTTCTGAGTTTGAGCCTGCATGAGATTCTATGTTTGTTTCCTTACTGCTCAGAAGGGCTAAAATGAAAAGAAATAGCTACCCAATGTTGTCTAGCAAGGGACGCATTCCTACATTCCAAGAACATATACAACTCAAAACAACTCTCAACCAATATTAAACACATCTTCAATATGAACATCAACACAGTCCTACTGTGTGGAGCTGAAACGTGCAGAACTACTACAACCATAATCAAAACAATAAAAGTATTTACCAATAATTGTCTACACAAGGTACTCAGTGTTTGTTGACTAGATATCATCAAAAACAGCCTTCTGTGGGAGATGACAAACCAGCTTCCAGATGAAAAGGAAATTAAGAAAAGACATTGGAGGTGTATAGAACGTACATTGAGGAAGTCATCAAACTGCATCACGAGCCAAGCCTCAACTTGTAATCGTGAAGGGAAGCGGAAAAGAGGAATTCCAAAGAACACATCACGTCAGGAAATGGAAGTAGATATGGAAAGGATGAATAACAACTGTAAAGATCTGATAAGTATTACTCATGATAGGGTTGGATGAAGAGTGCTGATGGGTGGCCTATTCTCCTCCACGACGAATAACAGATGTAAGTAATTACTGTTGTCTAGCTTTTATTGACATCAATTCTTTAATGAATATTATTTGCATACATCCAAATTAGTTTAAACTCAATTATTTATTTTAAAAAATCATTTATACATTAATAATATTGATCATTTTTAGGCACATAATGATCTTTTATTGGCATGTGAATCAAAACTTCAACAATTTGGTATACCTTTTCAAGAACTTGGTTTTCGTCCATTAAAAACTACATTAAATACACAAAAATTAGGTCATGGACCAGCTGGTCTAGTATCTGTACCACCATAATCCTGATAATAATAATAATAATATGAAAGAAGAAACATTTGAAAAAGAAGAAAAAAAAAGAAACAAACTAACAGATTCTAGTCAAATAATAAAGTGACTATTGGTTTTGAAAGTAAAAAAAAATATTGACATTTGAACAAGTGAACTCATTGAATTATTTCAATAGAACAATCTCAATATTATGTAATAACACTACAGATGATACAATCAATACAATTTATTGATAAATTGATCTTTTATTGTTTGTTTGTTTAACTAAACAATTTTATAGTTGAATTCGTCCTAGTATGGGACTCCTCGGCGGTGTGCACCTTCGATCCCATGTAGCGAGATTTGAACCCAGGATTCTGGCTTAGTGATCTAGAGGTTGAGCGTCCGCATGAAAAACTGATAGGTCCTGGAGGTTGAATCTCGCGTGGTGGGATCGTGAATGCGAACTGTTTAAGAGTCCCATATTAGGACGAAACGGTCGTCCAGTACTTCCAGGTTTTTCATGGTGATCTAGCTTTAATTGATTCGTGAATTAAATTATAAAATTACTAAAATCTGCACCAAAAAAGACCTGATAATAAACAATTTTGGTTGAAGCTTTTTGGGCGAGACTCTAATTTATGGACTAGCCAATCAAACGCGTTTTAGAGATTTCAAGGTTACGGTGCCAACTTCAGTGCCTAATGGTAACGTAACACTGGCTGCAGCCAGGTACTACAATATATATGGATGTTTCGAGAGCGTACAGACTCCCACGTAGGCTTGGTTATGTGCATCGTGTCGTCATCCACAAGTAGCATTTTGTGCACTCAACAACCGGAGTGCACATAAACAATATTGAAGCTATGTGGTCGAGGTTGAAAGAGTTTTTGCGACTTTATCATGGCTCCAGAGGCCAACTTCTATAGCCGTATGAATGATTTCCTCTACTGCATGCATTAGGATTTTATAATCTCTGAACCTCTTTCTAACGTTGACAAGTTTTTGAACCACGTATAAGGAGTGTTTCCATTATATTTCCATGGTTTTATATAACATATTTTTACTCTATACTGACTTTGCCGATTAGCTAATATTTCTCAAGGTCACTTAAGATTCATTCAAAGGTCATCCATAAATTAATGTCTCACCGTTTTTTGAATAAAGTTATGTTGTGATTTGTTTTGTTGGATAATTTTCATTTTGAATTAGTTCCTATCTACATTATATCCTAGTAGTATGTATGATATAATGGCAGAAATGTAATTTTTTTCGTTTTCGCCACGTTGTACTACTATGATACGATTCGATAGCCAATGTTTCAGTTTATACTAAAAAAATATCAGAAACTCGATTGATACGCTTTACACAAACTGGATCAAATTATCCAAGATAATCGACGTATGACTAGTAATAGAGAACCAGAGTATATACCAGACGATTCTTTGTTCAACGCATTTACAAGCGTTCATACTTAGTAAACCCAGAGTGGAAATCAATAACGTGAAAGAAATTAGAAATTAAGTGACTAATAGGATGTGTCTGTGTTTTTGAGAATCTTTTAATTATGATTAAGTATAATACTTAGGTTCAACTGACGGCAAACCTATATCATACTGATTGTTATAAAGATTCAGTTAGCCTTATTTTTTTAAAGAGATACAATAGTAGATTCATTTCGGAGTTGTGTAGCATATTGCATTTTTAGTTTTCTGACCATGACTTCGACTTGACTCCTGGAAAAAAAACAAATGTTTGTTGTCTGGATGAAGTATTTTGTATCAGTTTGATGTTCAGTGTTCTCCCTAGAATTTTATTTAACTAAGTTAGTTAATACTCACTGATTAAGGAATATAGAACGGTGCCGTCGAAATCAGCAGTGTCTAGTGTGTGCTTCTGATGTCGACAGATATAGATGGTATGTATCATCAGTCGAAAGTGAAATAGCTGGCGGCAGAAGGTTAAGAAGATTTAAGAAAAGAGGATGATTTGTGTGGAAACGAAGGAACAATCGAGTTTGAGACAATTGATGAACACTTTGCAAATGAATTATTTACTGTATGGTTCTCAGATTTCACTGGAAGATTCTATGATTTTGTGTCCCAATATATCTGGTTTTCCCCGCTTGTATTCTCGTTCACTACAAGAGTAGTAAGGTTACTAGAACGGTTGTAGAAGTGATATTTCCAAAATCTGTATTTCTCTCAGTGATCTGTAACGAAAGTACCAGTGAACCTAGAGATACTGTAAGATGACGAAAATCCCGTAATAATAAGCAGGGAATTTCTCGAAGATACTCTATTTTCATGACATTTTGCGAGATAAATTTACCTCAATTCGACATTTCATTGGGACGTTGATAGCGAATCCAAAGTCAGTTCTCGTTATCTAGTCTACAAACAGAAAGTTTTAACTGTTTATCCAAATTAGTCTTTGTATCCAGATCTCCCCTACTTGAATGTTGAAGTCCTCAACAGGGCCCCTTAATATCTACAGATCATGTTTGGTTAAGCAAGTTGAACAATAAATGGTTTGTCTCTGACTTGGTTAAATCTGACCTGTTAAATGTTTAGGTCTAAATGTCTATGAAATGGAAACTTAATTGTACTTGCCAAATAATTCTTATTATAGATAAATCTTTTAGGATAATAACATATAAGCAATTGTTAGTGAGATTACAGTCTGCTAACACTTCTTTGGTTCTGTCAGTACAAAACTGATATATGAAAGGGAGGTTAAATATCTATATGATAGGTTTTCATATTAAAGGAATATGAAATGTCCTTTCTGAATTAAAAGTATATCACTGAAATCTTGAATACAACTTTCAGAAATACTAAACAGATCAATGAATATATTTTCTGTGGTCCTAATCAAGCATCTCACTTGTTAATTATACATTGAGGTGTCAATTTTATAATAGTTAAGTCAGATACTTTATCAAGCCTCAGTTTTCGAGAGGTATTCATTTGATGACTTAAGATGTTTCAGACAGTTTTTCACCGATGTTACGAAGAACAAATAATGTTATTTTGAGTTCACAATGTCATACATAATTAGTAGACTAAGTAATTAGATTGAACCCTAGATCATAATATAAATCAAGCTAACCCAGATACTCTAAGTCTGATTAAAAACTGGGAACTCAATATGTCCCGGACCAATAGTTTATTGATACGAAGTGTTTGCAGTTGACACATAGTGAAATCAAAGTTATGTATAAAAATTATCTTATGTTTACTATAGCCTGATACATCTATCTTTGCCTATTGGCCAGTCACACCTTACTTTCTCTGACACATTAAAAATTTCTAGTAAGGAATATATATTGGGTTCTTATCATTGATTCACTATTGACTAGGTTTAAGAAGTATTCTTGAATTTCTAGTAAAAATTCATGATTGGTGGAGTTTAATTATACTAGAAGTGAGACAGACGTTTCTGGAGGATTTAGATAGTGGCCATACATTATCGTCGATTAACTGTGATTTGATGCTTGCAAGCTACTTAATTTTCAATTAGTAGTGAGTGTAGGCTGGTGAATTTTTGAAAATTAAAACGTAATCTTCATCCAATTATTCATTATTTTTATTGATACTCCACTTGATTTAGTACTCTATGATAAAATCTGATTTTAAATCGAACGATTTCCGCAAACATCAAGTCTTGATTAAATAATCAACGCGATCTTATGAGAATGGATAAATTTCTATTTCTAGTATAGGGAATTTGTGGAGATTGTGAAATTTTCACAGTTTAAAACACTAACTGGGCTTAGCTAAACCACTGATAACCTGTAAGCACTAGATGGCAGTCCAATCCTAGTATGGGACTTGTCAACAGAGTACATTCACGACCCTTCATCCGGGGGTCGAACCAAGAACTTTCGGTCACGTAACTTCTAGACCACTGAACTAATACCCAGTAATGTTGATGAACAGCTTCAATATGTAATTCCAGGAGTTCTAACGAGTAGTCTTAACCAGTGGAGTTCAACCTTGTCAGGCGTGAGATAGTTATTTATCTTAGGCAATGGATGAAAATTGAGCACTATTATTAAGTAACTAAGGTTAGACATAGACGCCGTTGGATGATGGCTTATTGATCTAAACGTTAAGCACCTAATGTTCTAGGTTCAATCATCTGGTGTGACGTGGCGTATGCACATTACTGAGGAGTCTCACATCAGAACGAGAAGGCAGTTCGGTCGTTCCAGGTTTCCGATAGTCGTCATATAAGATCAGTTGGTTTTTTAAACTGTGAATATTTCTACTTCTTAAGTGGTAAGCCTCGCTATTAGTTACTTGCATACGCCTGTTACTCCTCGTGGAGGAGAATAGGCCACCCATCAGCACTCTTCATCCAACCCTATCATGAGCAATACTTATCAGATCTTTACAGTTGTTATTCATCCTTTCCATATCTACTTCCATTTCCTGACGTAATGTGTTCTTTGGAATTCCTCTTTTCCGCTTCCCTTCACGGTTACAAGTTGAGGCTTGGCTCGTGATGCAGTTTGATGACTTCCTCAATGTATGTTCTATCCACCTCCAATGTCTTTTCTTAATTTCCTTTTCATCTGGAAGCTGGTTTGTCATCTCCCACAGAAGGCTGTTTTTGATGATATCTAGTCAACAAACATTGAGTATCTTGTGTAGACAATTATTGGTAAATACTTTATTGTTTTGATTATGGTTGTAGTAGTTCTGCACGTTTCAGCTCCACACAGTAGGACTGTGTTGATGTTCATATTGAAGATGTGTTTAATATTGGTTGAGAGTTGTTTTGAGTTGCATATTGCTGTAACGGGTGGACTGCAGGTTAAATGGAGCAGCGTATTTATCGGTCGAATCAGTGACACGTAAAACACGTAAGGACGACCTAGAGTCCCGATCG